TTGGGCTGGGGATGGTGGGGACCAGGCATTTGGGGAGGGGGTGCTGGGTGTTTGGGGGGGTGAGGGGCTGTCTGCCCCCCCCGGGCCAGAGGAGCAGCCTGCTTCCCCTCTGAGGGGTACCAGGAGCCCTTGGCGCAGCGTGCCCTCCTCATCTCTCGCCCAGGAGCCATGTGCACATCCAGGCTCTTCACGCTTGTCCTGGTGGTGCAGCCGCCCCGCGTCCTCCTGGGCATGAAGAAACGCGGGTTTGGAGCTGGGCTGTGGAACGGCTTCGGGGGGAAGGTGCAGCCGGGGGAGAGCATCGAGGAGGCTGCTCGCAGGTGAGGCCTGGCCCGGCTCGGCCGGTGCCCTGGGGAGAGGCAGGTATTGGGGCACAGGTTGGGCCACGGAGGTGTTAAGACCATTTGTGGTGGGCTGCAGGTGGAGTTACCGTGGCTTGGCTGATCAATAACGCCCTTGTAACCAGTGTGTTACCCGCGAGTGCAGTCGTGAGCCATCTATGAACAGAGAAAATCACCCGCTCCACTGGAGATGAGGGATCTTCCACATGTACAAAGAAACAGGATTGCTCCTCATTGCTTGTCATCTGCAAATCTTTAACTGTCGTCCAGTCTATGAGTAACTGGAAGTTACCCAGTATCCTCCCTCCCATCTCTCAGACTCTGATCTAAACTGAGACTCAGTTTGCTAATGGTGGGCAGAGGTTCTTGCACTGTTCGAAAAGGTGCAGAGTTTAATTTTGGCTATATAGCAGAATTACAACTTATGCCATTGTACCGCTTATTGTTTAAATTTTGAAGCTGTTGAACAGGTGCTACCTTCCAGTAGCATTTTTAATACCGCGTGAAAATGTAGTGACAAAATATTAGAAATTCTCAGAGGTCCCTTACGAAAGGTACTGTAGAAATTTATTATTTGACTGCATGGCGGCATTTTTAAGCCCTAATGCTGAGTTAGGGAATTGAATTCCATCAGTACAGAAGTACAGTACCATTTGTGAAGCTTTTAGTACTGATTTCTTGAAGTTCTTCTGTCTGGTCATTAAAATGAAATAGCAGACCGCAGCTGAATAGCTAAACTCCTCTAAAAATCAGGTACCTTGTTCTTTACATGACCGTTGCTGATACAAAGCCGCACTTTGCCACCTCCTCACTTTCTGGTACGTGCCCAAAATTGCCCTTGCACCTGCAGGAAAAACAATGTTGGTGTTCTAAACAGCTACCTAAC